ACACACACACACACACACACACACACACACACACACACACACACACATATATATATCTATGTATCCTTTGGCTTCAGCCAATTTATCGTTGGCAATACGTGAGTGGATCGTTGTTTGCACAACAGGCAACAACAAGTGCTTTATGGTCTCTTAAGAGCTGTATTAATTTTGAGTTTAAATAAAATTCTTTGTTGCCAGTTTTATGGGGTTCATGATTTCGTCATGCTATCGTTATAGCATAAAAAAAAAGAGAAAGAAAGTTTAGCGCATCCATTTATTCCATATCCTTCATTCATATGCTGGGCTATAAAATCGGTTGCCGCACACAGTATCGATGTGGTTATATCAATTGATATAAGGTGAAAATGTTTGACTTTCGTCGCTTTTTCTTTGGTACATTTCACTTGGCTGAGCTTTTGAAAATTGCACACCTGAACGGCATTTTATTGCGACAAAGAAAAATGAAACTCTATCGTTTTCCGCTCTACATCTATTGACATATGGTTAAATGAATGGGGCCAAATTCAAACGATTCCAAAATGAATTCTATTCCATTGATTTGTTTTAAGATAAAAGAGACACACTTTCATAGAATCATCTCATATCAATTTTCCTTCTAAATACACACACACAAACCAAGTTCATGCGCTGATATGAGAATACTATTCTCAGAGCAGTGTGATTGATACTTATATCACTCCATTTACAAATTTCAATTGCAATTGTTAAAAATTCGTTTTTATTCAATGGACAGTGAATTGAGTTTTGTTTGCATATTTCCGAACGAGAGAGAAAAAAAACGTATTATGCATTCCAAGTGAATCGTTCCTTAAAACGATACGAAATATATGCAGCAGTTAAACTGTGCGACCCATTTGAGAATTCTTTACCTCAATTTATTAAAATAATTTTTAGCTACAAAAAAGGAAGACAGAGATGAAGGAAAAAGCAGAAGATACAAAGAATATGCTAGACACCATGCCGTTTATCACATGGAATTTTGTGCCTTCGGCAAAGCATTTATCGCATTTTGCATATCGACCATTTGAAAATGTAATTGTATATTTTAAGTAAATTCTATGCGAATTCATTGCAATGTTTTTATCGAATGAAGTTTGGCTGATATTGAAATTGCTTTTAAGCATTTGCCGTTGGCAAAATTTATAAAATTCTTTTCTTCTCCATAATGAATGGAATGGTACATTCACAGTTGATGTTTTGTTAACAATCAACTCTTTTCATTTCTATCTATCTATACTCAACAATTCTTGAACAATTATCAAAATGAAAATATTATTTTAGATCGTTGATTGCTTTGCATAAATAAAGTGTTTAGAGCATGAGTGTATGGCATTAGTGAACCCGAAGATCAAAATGAAGTCGATGAGATAAAAAACAGTAGCATGACGTAAATGTAAGTAGCTAATGCTGACGAATGAAATTGTGTGCGGCGTTTCAAAGTAGAAAATAAATATCAGAAATTATTTTACTTTCATGTGAGCTACATATTCAGTAAGTGTTCCCCTGATTCGGATGTTGTAGTGATGGTAGTTTTTTTTGCTTTGTTTTTGGGCAAAGTGTCTATCCAAAATTTATGAATCCCAGTTCAGACATCAAAAAGAATGGAAATGCTCACAAATTCACCTGCTGTCTTTAGATTGAGGTGGAATGAGCATTCAAGAAAATGAGTAAAGGATAAAGAGCAGGGAAGAGAAAAGGAGAATGAGAAAGAGAGAGAACGACCGAGAAAAGTTCAGATATGTGTTTATGTGGCTTTAATATACCTGTATGCATTGCATTACATGGATTGCCCACATTTGTTCAAACATAGAAAAGTAAAGGGAAAAGAGTGGAGGATAAACAAAATACACGATTCTCACATCTCAAATACACACATACGCAATATCGAAAAGAAAATAAAACCGTAAAACAAATAATACATGAAATAAACGTAACTTTGGCCATAGATAAACAAAAGCTACGTATTTGACTCGTGAATAATACTGAACGGGGAAAAAATGGGGACAGTGTTTGAGTGAGAATGGCAAAAAAAAAAAAATGTGGGAGGCGAAGAAGTGAACGACCGAATGGAAAAATCTATCAGTTGAATTGCTTGCAGCGAATCGGAGCTTTTTGCTTCGTTTTGATATTTGACGTGTGGCTACAAACCGATGCCATCGAAAATTTATTCATCAAACCCATCGTAAAATGTGAAAAGTCAGTAGTCGAAAAGTGGCGAGACACGACAACAGACTTTTGCATGCATCAAATCTATACAAATACAAAATATATACAGTGCCGTCAGAAAATTTGAAACCAAGCTCATTTTTTTCATACAATTTCATACAAATTGACGATTTTTTGGAGCCATATTCAATATATTTCGGAAATAGCTAGACCCATAATTTTTTGTACACTTATTATTTTACTTACGGAGAGTAAACTAGTTAAGTTTTACCAAAAATATCTACGCGTTTAAAAAATATCCGAGGTTTGCACTACCAAGTGTGAAAAATGACACATTTTGTATGAAAAATAATCCTTTTTCACACTTGAAAGTGCAAACATCGGATATTTTTTAAACTTCACTAGTTTACTCTCCGTAAATAAAAC